AGCACAAAAAAAAGAGGCGAAACTTTGTCAGGCAGACTCCGAAATGCTCTTTCCCCAACTAAAACATTTATGCCTTTATAATATCTATTCAACTTGACAGCATTAGCGAGCTGTCTGAGTATGCCTTCATTGCGAACTGCCACCTGGATGACTTTTGGATCCTATTATATTACTTTGCAGTTACTTCTTCAAGCATTCGAATGCTTTTTGCTCAGCATATTCGCTTCAAGTGATCGTTGCTTTGATAAGAGATATTCTCCAGCCTGTGTCGAGCGGCTGGCGAAAAGGCTTGTACTCCTCATGCGCGGCCAAACTTGCATAACTGTGCCACGTAGTCTCCACGCTGGGTCTTAGCCGCAAGCGTCTAAGGTCGCAGCAGTTGTATAGCATGGGGCGTGGGGCGTGGGCCGTGGGGCAGAGCCGTGTAGGTGTTTTGAATGTTTAGCTCAAGTGGCTTTTTAAAACATATTCTATGCTAATTAAGGGCCTGCGCTTGGGGGCAGGTGGCGGCATGAGTGGGCCGCGTGGGGCGTGTGGGGCGTGTGTGGGGCCAGGCCTTAAATGAGTTGTCGTCGTGGACGTCGTTGTTTGCCTTTGATAAGCAGAGATTGCTGGCAGCCAATGTCATCAATGGTGGGGCTGGTGGTTGGTTGGGTGGTTGGCGTGTTCTTGTGGCCTCCACAGCCATTGCGTAATCCTTAAAGTTGAATTTCTGTTTACAAGCTGTCATCGAGAGCCAGCCAGGCCAATTTAATTAACGAATTAACAAAGCCAGAAGTTTTTGCGGTTTTTTAAGTGATTTCGGTTTCGGCATCAGCGTCCTCATCAGGGCCTAGACTGCGGCGCCCAATTATTTTGCGGCCTTGTTGTGCATAATTGAATTATTGCCATATGCAAAGCCAAAATAAAGGATAAGGCCAGGCACCCAGGCCAGGCCCAGCCAGGCATCGAACGCCCAACACCCAGCAGTGCGACCCAAACACAGCCCAGCCTGAAAACAGCCCCAAAAATCAACCCTAAACGACGGCGGACAGACGACAGACGGCGACGACGACGACGACGAGGCGACAAAGTTTTCTCTTGTGGCTTTTTATATTTTGGCGGCTTTTGCTTGTTAAATAAATCAAAGTCGGCAAAGCTCAAATAAAAATAAGAAAATAAAAACTAAGTCCCAGTAAAAGGCAAAGACAAAAGGCGCAAAGCCCAAAAGGCGGCAATAAATTGAATTATAAATTTAATTGAGAATTGGCTTTGCGTCAGCCCACACTTTACGCATTAATATTAACGAGTTTTACAAATGTTACCACACCCCACGCGCCCCCCAAAGACCTCGCTCGATACACTTTGATATGGCATGAAAACTCGATCTGATAACTTGATTTGACGACAGAGTTCCTTCAATACATATAATTCATATTGCTTTCTCATACTCTCACTCTCTCTCTCTCTGTAGTCGAATAATATTGGCAGAAATTATATAACATTAAAAGATATTTATTTTCTTTAGATATTTATTGTTCAGTAGAAAACGAACTTAGTAACTTAGACTGATATTTGGAAAAATATCTTGACTAGATTCTCACTCCAACAGCTTGGCTAGGCATTAAGATACTGCAGCCCAGAGCTCTGCCAATCTCAAGGATATGCAGATCTATAAAATATCTCATTGAACTTCACCTGTGATGTTTCCGCCTTATAACGTTTTCTTACCCCATTCATTGCCTACTTTTGTGCGCTTGTAGACTGCTGACTGTCTGCAGAGATGATGTAGCATCAGCAGAGCCACAGCTGCAGACAGCCAGTAGCCAGCCAGCTGAAGGCTGAAGCGAGCACTAAAACTGGTGGTCCAGCTTACTGCCTGAACAGCTACCTCAGTCACATATGACCTGGAGCAAGTCTGACGCAGCTCCGGCCTCAACCATTGTGCCCTGCAGCGCCAACCTTGCGCCTGTCATCGACTGAGCCCACTAAGCCTGCCAGAGTGCTGCTTCCTCAAGGCAGTTGCCTCAGCGGGCAAGGCTAATGCAACTTTATGGCAGCATAAACAAAGAGTCAAAGGAAATCTTTATGATGAAAACTCTCTATAATGCTGATAAATATAAAGAGCTAAGCATTTATACAATTGGAGTCGTTTTATATATGTTTTACTGCAGCTGCAGCATTTTTTTCTTATTTACAGTTAAAATTAATATCAGTTCGCATGATGCCGACCAAATTATATTGCCGATTTATTGATAGTTTCGTAAATCGTTCAATTGAGCTAAAATCCAACAAGATTAGAGATTATCTTGGCTGGATCTTCATGCAATAATCCTTTACGTATAATTCGCATATTTCAGATATATTTGTCGTACTAAGCATACATGTTTATTATAATATCTGAATGGGTATAGATCTGCATGCAGCTTACAACTTGAAGGGAAGAAGAAAGGAAAATTGTGGGCTTACTTACACACACATGCCAAACAGACTATGTCAAGGCTGCGTTTGGGCGGGGCGGAGGATGATGCAATGATTTATAGATTTCAGCTGGAAGGGAGGGAGAGGAGGGACAATTGACGTACCGTTTCGGCTGAACAATCTTTCTTTCGTTGTTGCGTATTGAGGCGTTTGGACCGTAACGTCCGAGCAGTGCGCTCTGGGATTGAGAGATGCCACCGGCGGCACTGGCGCTGGCCGCTGTGATAGCTGCGATACCGCTGCGCAGGGAGGTGCCTAACTCACGATGATGGAAGGCGCCAAGGGCTGATTGCGATTGCACGGCATAGTCGAGGCCGGGTAGCTCCAGCGAAGCAATCGGATGGATGCGGGTCAGCGAGAGCGTGCTCTCCAGCACCGTGCTGAGCAGCGGTGCGCTGCGCAGAGATCTCAGACTGCCGCGCCTCGTTAACGTATCGGGCTTATACATTTAGCCAATACGCTCCCACTCCCACCATGGGGAGCTGGGGAGCTGGGGAGCCAAATCGCCAACCCAGCAGCTCGACAGCCTTTTTCACACTCACGCCTGTCGCTTAATTGGTCAAGTGCCGTTCAAGTGTGCACGCAGTTAACCCCAGCCCCGTCCAGCCCCTGCCAGCCCAGCTCCAAGCGCTACCCAGGCTAGGTCCCAAATGGCTGCTTGACTCGTATAATTGTTATAAACGGTTTGGGTTTGTTATCGGCACTCTTTTGCGGCACGGCGACGTTTTATAAGCAATTACGTTGCCAAGTGTGTAAAACTTGTCGGTCACGCGACCAGCCGACCGAGGGGCCGACAGACCAGCTCTGCCTCCTGCACCTGCTGTTTCAGCTCCAGCTCCAGCTCCAACTTCAATTTCAACTCCAACTCCAACTACACACCTTCACGAGCGATTCGTGGCTGGCGACTCGTGACCGCCTGCGTTTTGTTTGCGCAAATGTTTGTACAAATTACTTATCGCCTGACAAACGTCCGCGGCGACCCCGACGTCTCGTTGTTCACTGTTGTGCTCCTGTTTTGCATATGATTTGCATGAGATTTGCTTTGTCAGATTGCGTTCGAGCAACCGGACAGAGCAGTGTGGCGGCAGGTGGGGCAGGTGGTGTCGAGCTGCGCTATTTACAAATGTACAAAATGCTCTCTAGGTGCTAGCTGCTAGCTGCTAGGTGCTAGGTGCTAGGTGCTAGTTGCTGCTGCAGCAGTGCGACTGCTGTCGAGCTGTAATCAATACACTGCAATGAATGTTGCCCAATGAGTGCTTCGAGTGCTCTGTGAATGGCCCAGACGCCCAGACTGGGGCAGAGCAATTGAGTTTTGCTCGTTAGTCTACAAGATTACGTAATGAACTGAGCTCAAAACTCTATGTGTATGTATGTGTGTGTGTGTGTGTGTGTGTTAGAGGTATATATTTACCAGAACACACGCTGCATTGCGCCTATGAGCATTTGAATACCCCACTAAATATTAATATATATATTTACTTACTAAGGAATGAAAGGGGCAGAGAACGAAAGAGAGAGAGGTAAATAGAGAGCGTTATGAACATTTAGAATTAGATTAATCTTTAAATTAATCTTAGCTTCGATTAGAAACGAAATCTTCTGACGTTTTTCTTAAATTAATTTAAATAATACTTTCATTTTTAGTTAAACAATTAAAATTCGAATTCTTTTTATATAAATTGTGCATATAAAGTAATACTTTTGGGATTACTTTTAGCTTCATTAGAAAAATATTTTAGGGGTCAGCATTGAAGTTTGAAGAAGAAGAAAAATTCATTGTGAAAAATAATTTGTGAGGGCTGAATTAAAGACTTAAAAAATAAATAATAATAATCTTGTTACTTAGTAACTGAATTATTATTCATTGATCTCTTGATTTACTTAAGAAGAGATTAGAAGAATCTTTGGGCAGACAGACAAAGGCAAAGAAAGGATAAATTCATATTGATAAGTTCAGCTTATAAATAGACTGATTATTAGCTGCTACAGGGAACAAGTTCTTGATAAGCCAAATCAGGAGAATCATTAAGAATGACTCAACTGAAACTGACTCAGTAAAAAGACACGAAAAAAACTCTTCAAATCTTCATTTCGAAATAATGTAGACAAAACAGATGCATAGGCCACACATATTGAGAGCTTCTCTAATATTTGAATTATATATATACAAATGTAGTTAACAGTCGAGACTAGCTATTAGAATTATCTAAGATAAAGATGTGTTAAGACTTAAATTAAATTATAAATATTGATTTCTTTATAGACTATTTAGCTTAAGTTGTATGCATGACGAACTGAAAGTAGCTAGAGCTTCGATTAATCGATATCGATCAGTTTTAGTCAGCTAGACTCGCTAGCCTATAATGTCACATGAATTGATGCATATTGTACAAGAATTGAATCAGATAAATTTATCAGAGAGAGAGAGAGAGAGAGAGAGAGGCAGACATGTGCATAGAGTTAATTATGTTTCATAGATTATGTGTTTATCATTAGTAAATTGAATGAGCATGCAAGTTTGATTGTTGTTCTAAACTCAC